CATATATTACTCTATACCTTTCTCTCTCGCACAGATGTTGGCATCACGTTCAGCGCCTTATTCTCCTTCCAGTAGTATATGTTCTAAGGAAAAAGCAGTTTTTATTGGATATCGCTCGTCGCTCATCGCTCATCGCGTCCAGTGTGCAGTAGCCATTAGACATGCTTGCGAAATTTGTAAATAGATCTACGGCACACGGAGCGTTTTTTCATGTTAAATCGCATGCGACCTAACCATGCGAGCAAACAAGCTAGCTACAAAGCTAGAGATTTTGTACGCTGCGTGATGTCATGCGTATTTACTTGCTGGTTTTCGATGATAGAAACGGTGCTATTTTCGCTGCGTGTTTTGGTGCTAGTTAAATAAAAGTAATAACCTAAAAGTAATAACCGTAAGTAATAACATAAAAATAATAACGATAGTTTAGTAATATACAATATAAATATATCATATATACATATGTATACATATATATGTATATATTTTATAACAATTTATTTGTATAATAATAATAATAATAATAATAATAATAATAAATAGATATTCGTATATTTACACATATTATTGATAATTTTATCTATATTTCTTGTAGAAATGATGGAAGTCGAAAGGAGAAGAAAATTAGCTGCAGTAGCTCTTTTCTTATCAATAGATAGAGAACGGAAGAAATTGAAGATGAAAAAAAAAAGAAAAATTTGGACTAGAATGTGGTTACAACGCAGAGAGACAGGACAAAATGTCTTAACAATGCTGTATAAAGAATTAAGGTGTGTGATAATATTTATTCATATATTGTATATTATGTTTATGTAACATTTTAATTATTTTATTTGAATGATCTATATCTGCTTACATTTACATCTTGTATATATTATTAATCTTATGTATTTTAGTGTTGAAGATCCAAGTTCCTTTTTAAATTATATACGTATGGAACAATATGTGCTTGAGAAGCTGTTACAATTCGTTACGCCCTATATTCAGAAACAAAATACTGTAATGAGAGAAGCCATCTCTTCTCGAGATAGATTAAGTGTTACACTGCGATTTCTTGCTACTGGTAATACATTTCAAGATTTATCATATTCAACTCGGATTGCTCCTAATACACTATCTCAGATCATACCTGAGACATTAAAAGTTATTGTAACAGTTCTCGAAAGTAAAGTAATCGCTTGTCCATCAACTGCAATGGAGTGGCAAGTTGTAGCAGAAAAGTTTAATACATGGTGGCAGTTTCCTCATTGCATAGGTGCATTGGATGGCAAACATCAATTTTCGACCACCAAGAAAAGAAGGATCGATGTATAGGAATTATAAAGGGAGAGATAGTATCGTACTTCTTGGTCTTGTGGATGCTGAATAGAAATTTTTATTTGTAGATATTGGAAGAAATGGTCGCATGCATGATGCTTCCGTATTTCGTGAGAGTTCTTTGGCTACGCAATTATATTCCGAAACATTAAATTTACCGTTACCATCTCCTTTACCAGGATATGATACTCCTCTACCATATGTAATTGTGGCAGATGATGCCTTTCCGTTAAAAGTACACATAATGAAACCATATCCTGGTCGTGATCTTACTTTCCAAAAGAAAAGTTTAATTATAGACTAAGCAGAGCACGCAGAACTGTAGAAAATGCATTTGGTATCTTGGCGAACAGATTTCGTATTCTTATGAACATTATTCCCCTTTCAGTTGAAAAAGTAGAATTAATAACTAATGCATGCTGCGTGCTCCATAATTATCTTATAGACAAAAAAGTGTCACGGTATGTTCCATTGGAATTAAAAAACAGAACTGATATAATACAACCAAATATAAGTGGCATATCACGACAAGGCGGAAATCATTGTTCAAACACAACTAGTACAATTAGGGATCAATTTTGTGAATTCTTTAATACGGTAGGAGCTGTACCATGGCAAGAAAAATATATACAAGAAGGACGATGTTAATTAACTTTTATTTCATTAAAAATATAATTTGTATTTTTGTGTATTTTTAATAATTTTGTACTTGAAATATAATTCGTATTTCTGCTTTTGTAACATAACATAAAACAAAATCACAACAGGCATCTATGGTATTTTTTATTACTATGTACCTTATAATGATTTTTATTACTATGTACCTATAATAATTTTGTACTTAAAAAATTTATATTTGTGCTTTTGTAACATAACATAAAACATAAAATCATAATAGGCACCTATAGAATTTTTTATCAGTATATACCTCTTACAAGCACCTTAATAGTACCTCGTACAAATAGTAATATGTAAAACTAGGAACAATCTTTGCTAAAATTAACTTTTAGACCTCTAAAATAATCTCTTTATTATAAAACATGTATGTATATGAAATTTAAAATTATAAACACGAAACATAAACACAAAATCATAATCACGAAATATATAATAAACTGTTTATTATTACTATGCTTATTATTAGTATTGCTGAAATTATGTATAATAGAACATGTAAACAACAAAAGTTATTTCAGCACAAAATAAAAAATCAGTCTCAAAAGCATATGCCCGGTATTGAACCTAATACACATCTACAATAGCTATAAAAAGTAATAAGGAGTAGTAAGCAATTGGACCAATCACAATCGATTCTTGAATTGTAAGAATAAAATTGGTCCATTTATTTACTACTTACTTTTTATAGTACTAAGTCCTACTGCCATTGTAGATGATGCATAATATAGCAATACCTGTTATGAAACATCATTACTCATTTTTGGGCTCTTTCTAAGTCCATTGTACTCATATTAATTACAGTTTGTACCAAAGTGTTCATAAGATCTAATTTTAACTCTGGACATTTCAATTCTTTTATAAGAGAACCTAAAAATTTCATGCAATTGTTAACCGTATCGTCATTGTCTACATTATTGGTAGGTTTTGTCGACGATGGTGTTTTTAAAGATTGAGCAATAGATTGAATTGCATCTACGTAAACATCATCACTTTGAGTTTTGCGTTTTTTGGAGATACGACCAGAAGATGTATATGCTCCTTCGTTGAGCACACTAGATGATGCTGTTGATGGTACTAGTTTTTCTATTGAAGATGATAATGGACTTGCAGTATTTATCTATGCAATACTGCTGAAGTCCTAGATATTGATTGATTTTCTTTTGTTGCATACAGTTTTTGTGTTGTTACACTTGGAATTGTATCAGTCGTTGATTCGTCGAGTGTCCATATTTCACTGTCATTTACTTCAATTTCTTCTCCCTCATTTAGGCCAACATATCCGATTTCAGTTGTTATTTCATTATTATCTAATTCTTCTTCCCATAATTTAATATCTAATTAATAATCATGATAAAAATAAATGCAGATTTAAACGTAAAACTAGTGGCACACGAAACATGTTTTTCTACTGAATTGTTTACGTTTTGGTAAATTACTAGAAATACTGCATTCAGTGGTGTAATTCTAATAATTTACTAAAACACAAGTAATCCAGCAGGAAAACATTAAAAAGTTCTGGATAATGATAAAATATTTGTTAATAAAGAATAACTAAGAATCAGATTTTCTGTAAAAGCTTCATAAAACATAAATAGAATAATAATAGATGCAAATAGTAATTAGTTTCAATTGTAGATATTATAAATATATACCTGTTTTGAAACAGTACTTGTGTTTACAACAACTTCTGTATTTGGTATCGATGATTTGCTTTTTTTGGTATAACATGTTCCTCTAGAAACTTAAGAGAGTTATAATACCATAGATTAGGCCTATAGACCTATAAAACAGATATTTAATTTTAAATATACGCCATTATTCCATGGTTTACACATATTAATAATTAATATACTCACATTTTCAGTACCTATTCCACTCTTAATTGATTGTCTCACTTTTGCATTTTCTGTGTTAAACTGGTTTCTAAGATTATGTAACTTTACACTACAATCCTTTTCATTAGAATATGGTCTAATTGTGGAAACTACAGCACTAATATGCTTTAATGCTTCATTTCTTAAATGTTTATTGTGATAATTTGGATTGTTGATTGCATACAAACAAGGTTCATCCTTATATGCATCTATTAAGACTTCTACTACCTGTTTCGGCCACCCTGTCATGTTTTTTATTCTGTTTAAAATTAATATTTGTAATTAAAAA